TTATAGGTCATTTTGAAAAGTCAACAAAAACACCTTTTGGGTCAAAGCTTCATAACATTAGTATGGAAGACTCAATTGAGATGAGACCAAAAAGTTTGCTTAGGGGACATCCTAAGATTTCTAAAAAGTCCAAGAGCACCCTCATAGGGTCAAAATTGAAAGAGATATGCCTTGTCAAAGTTAACCATTTTTGCAAAATTGCCAAAAGTCAAATGTGTCCAAAATTGCATTTTTTGCTAAATGGGCCTAACTTTTTATGCTTGCACGAAGCTTGTGATGTGATCCAAGACCCATGAGCCCTTCCACTCGTCATTCTTTTATTTTTATTACTTATTTTGATTTTATTTCATTTAAATCAAATAAAATCAATATAAAATAATGAAAATATCAAAAATCAATTAAACCTTGAGATTTTGTGCATGATTAGAGTCATTATACAGTTGGTGGCAAGATCAAATCGTGCAAGACTTCATATGAACAGAAAAAGATTGAAAATGCTTGTTTTGGAAAGATTTGGTGCAAGGAATAAATCAATGGTCAATCTTCATAAATGGCAAAGATTTGATGCAAATTTTTACCCTAATGCATTCTATTATAGATAGTGAACAAAGGCAGACCAAAAACAGAAGGGTTGGAGGCGTGAAAAGGTAGAAAAAGTTCAAAATTTTCAAAGAAAAGTGCTGATCAAATCTTGCTCCACAGGCCGTTTCAAGCGTTTCAAAAGGTCAATTCATATTCTTGGATCATCCCTGAAGCCAACAAGATCGTTTGCAAGGCCTGAGACACTCAGAATCACCCTATAACATTCATACGGTTTGCTTGATTTCTTGAAATCGAATACATTAATTCTTGCATATTTAGCATATTTGATTGGCATATTTATAACCTTTGAGATGTTTGCAACGTGACACTGTGATTCAATTGCATTTTTGACACCTGTATGTGCAGATGCCATGGCTAGGGTTTGTTTTTTGTTTTTAGGGTTTTTTATACAGGAGAAATTGGGCGTTGTTAGTGGTACCATGATGCTCGTGAGATTGAAACGAGTTGATTGGTACCATTAGGTTTCATTTATCATGTGCGTACAAGATTTTTGAAATGGACAGGGGCTATACCTACGCTTGATGTCTGTAGGTAAAAGTCACAAAACCTAAGACGACAGACGCTGGAGAAGACGATGAGGTGTTCAGTCACCATTGGACCATTTGAATATGATGCGCGCGTTTTTGCTTCAGTTTCATGGGAACTGTTTTTATATATTATATATTACTTTTTTTCTCTAACAACTAATCATCATAGCGCAGCTGGCAAAGGCCTTTAGTGGTAAACAAGAGGACCTGGGTTCGATCCCAGGTCCCAGCAAGTTTTATTTTCTCACTTTATTTCTACAGATCCGGTGCATTATAATCCAAAACGCCTATCATGCGCTGCCATCATCCTACCACTGGATTCATGGCTGGTCAGATCCAACGCTCAAGCAACGAAGGACCTTGGTACACCTCAAGTCAACGCTTGCATAGGATCCAACTCGGTTGACTGGGCTTGGAGCTTAATGGGCTGGAAAATTCAGATTGATACCCCCTAATTGCTTCAGCAGGCCCATTCTCACACTTTTTTATTTTCTTTATTTCTTTTTAGTTTATTTATTTTATTTAAAAAAAATCATTTTTTAATAAAATCAGAAAATTAGGATTAGTTTTTTTTAAATTTATTTTTTCACTAATTAATTAGATTAACTTAAGTTAGGGTAATTTTAACTCTTTTTTACAATTAAAATTAATTAGCAAGATTAGGTTTAATTCTTGGTTTTAATTATTTTCTTTCTAAAAATAAAAATACAAAAATATGTTTTTTTTTCATTAATCTAATTATTTTTTGCAATTAAAATTAATTAGTAATTAGTTTCTTTTTTAACTTAATTAGTCTTTATTTTTCTTAAATAATAAAAAATGACAAAAAATGTTTTTTTCTCTTTAATTAACCTCAATTAGGTTTAGTCAAGGTTAAAACCCTAATTTCTCGTATTTACTTTTACCGCGCGCGCTTTAATACTCTTTTTTATTATTATTGTAACTGCTTCCAAGTTGTAATAGTTAAATTAGGGTTTTAAATTCCGCACTTCTATTTCCCGTCAAGATTATTATGTAACTGTCAAAGTCATGTAATAGTTAGGTTTATTTTCTCGCACTTTAATTCCTGCAAACTCTTTAACTGCTTAGATGTATGGATAATAGGATTATATGACAAGAATGCATGAAAAGATTAAAATGGCTAGAAAACCCTAATGTGCAAGGAATGGAAATAAACACATGAACCTATGAAGTTTCTTGATGAATCCAACCACTAACTTTGAGACAATTTTGACCAAATAAAGTTGAGAGAGTTCTTACACCATAGAGCCTTGATGTTAGAAGAATAGATTTTAAGGTCAAGCTTTTTAAAAATCCAATGAAGAGCCAGTTGACCGAGGATCAATCTTTAAAACCCTAGCTTAGGAGGTGAGATGGATGCACTTGAGTCAATACCTACAATACACAAAACATAAAAGGAAACACATACATCTTTTTTGGATTTTAGTTAGAGGTTAGTAAACATAAGATACACAATTCAATGTGTTTGGTGATCCCTCAAGGACAAACTTAAAGAGGAGAGAGTATAGGTGATAGCCAACCCAAGTGTGTGATCTTGATGCATTGTAATGATATGAAATGATGAGGGATATTAGGGGAAAAATTAGGGTATAACAACCTCCCTTATTTAAATGTCTTCTATCCAGCGATATGAAAGTTAAAATCTTCATCTCAGTGCGATTGAAGATACTTAAATACAAAACAAACCCTATTTTTGTCCCTAAGATACCATGTAATACTTATGATTATGAATGCTATAAGACGAACTCCACAGGGGAAAGAAGACACCACTGGAAATAATAAAATAACATAGACAAAGCTATGACACAAGACATACTAAGAAAATGAGTTCAACCAGAAAAATAAATCACTAGGGAACAACACAACTCTGGGGATAACTATGAATGGGAAAAACCAAAACTACAGTTAAGGAAACAAAATGCGAAATAAAATTCTAATGAGGAAATTCTTAATAATACAAGCAACAAGCCAACAAGGAAGCAATCTTTAAGAAAGTATTACCAACTTGACTGGGGAAAGAAACTTAACTCCGTTGGAGAAAATCAACTCTGCTAGGGGAAAAGAGAAAAAAACTCTACTGGGGTAAAGCCCAAGTAAGATAAGGAGGAAACAAGATAACATCATCTGTATAAAGAAGAATAACAAAGAAAAATACCGACTAACAGATGACAATAAACTACCAATGTCAATGATCAACTCTATTTGGGACCAACCCAATGTCAATGGGAAGTGAATATCATCTATCAAATATCTTATAGTCTAACAATGGAAAACCCAATAGGACGTGAGAATGAATACCATATATCAAAGATGTGATAGTCTAACAATGGTAAACAACAAGAAATGGAATGGATATCATCTATCAAAGGTTTGATAGTCTAACAATGGTAAACACGAAAGCGTATGAAAATGAATATCATCTATCAAAGATGTGACAGTCTAACAATGGAAAACCCAAAAGGAGAAAGCGGGAAAACCAACCCTACTGAGGACATAAGCCTGAATGGGTAGTATATGTCACAGGAGGTGAATACCATCAATCAAAGATCTGATAGTCTAACAATGGTAAACCCGGAAGGACATAAGAATGAATACCATCTATCGAAGGTCTGATAGTCTAACAATTGTAAACAAACAAAAAATATAAGAGAGTGAATATGATCTATCAAAGATCTGATAGTCTAACATCAGTAGACACAAAAAGTGTAATGAATATCATTTATCAAAGGTCTGATAGTCTAACAACAGTAAACAACCAAAGGATATAAGAGTGAATACCATCTATAAAAAATGTGATAGTCTAACAATGGTAAACAAATAAAGGATATAAGAGAGTGAAAACCATCTATCAAAAGATGTGATAGTCTAAAAATGGTATATGTTGTAACTGGTTTTAAAATAAGAGTCGTCACCCTTAATTTTTATCCTAAGGAAAAGAATATAAAGGTTAACCCTAACGTGGTCAAAGATTATAAGTTGTTGACTCGGTTATAGACAAAGGGAAGATGTTAGGCACCCCTCATCTACCTTGTTCACAAGGATGTTAGGGTTTAGAAGCGCAATTTTTAGAGAATAGGGTTTTAATTTTATTAAGGGAACTCGCCACGACTTTAGTCGTATGCCTACGTATCTTCTTATGAGGAATCAAAGTCTCAATTCATAGTTCGCAATTTGGTTGATGTTTTTTATAGGATTGCATATAATTGATTTTAAAATTTCCTTTAACCTTGTATGGGTTAAAAATTGTGTGAGCATAGACGTAGTTCACATTTAATTTTGAAAGTAGTTCTATTTAATCCTTTTTCGAAAATATATTTGGTTTTTGATTATGTTAGTAAAAAAAACTGACTTGATGATTGGTTAGCTGTTTTAGTATTTGATTTGATTAAAGAGTATGATAGGACATAGAGCGAGGGAGTCTGATATACTTTCCTCATCACGTGGCCAGATATTTGTCATGTGTCGCTCACAGATGGAGTATTTGGTGAGATGTGTGGATTTTAATATCTTTGTAAAATGTTAAATTAATTAATTAAAAAAATTATTTTTATTATTTTATTATTTTCGAGGTTTTAAGTTTTTTAATAAAAAAACCAACCGGGGTGTCAAAAGAAGAATATGGATGGTGTAAGAAAGGAATAGGGCCTAACAAACTTAAAGTCTAATCAACCAAAACCAAAAAATTATTTCTAATTTAAATTATTATTTAGTAACAATAACAAATAAAAAACTAAACAAACAAGGCACGGGTGCCCCATTATTCTCACCTTTAGGAAAAGAAATTACACAACAAAGTTATAGCATTATCTTGACTTTTCAATCTAAGCCGTTAACAAATAAAATACCAACATGTGGCACATTAATGGAATTCAAAAAAATCAAAATGAAACAAATATAATTGTGAAAGAGAACAAAAAGCAACAAAACAGATCCAGATTATTCTCTTTCTCTCATACAGTATCGCTTCTGTTCAGACTCCAAATCTCTTTTCTCAGAGGGTGTCGGCTGTACGACGGAGCTTGCGGATTTGCAATGGCTTGGTGGGTCACGGTGATGTTGAGTTGTCAGTACGGAGGTGGCGCTGAACGAAGATATTGAGGGAATGTTGACGTCGAAGGGCATGGCTGCTGCGTCGTCTGTTTGCGGTTGTGGGCTGTTCCGTGGCGAAGGAGGATCACATCAACTTTTTCTTCTGTATTGGTTTTGGTCGTTCTGCTTTTGTCTGGGTTGCGCTCCACTGTTCTTCTTTGATTTTTTTGAATGCTCCTTTTTCAACAACAACCTGCAACAAAGCTGAAACAAATAGAATTGAAAAGAGGGTTAAAAAGTCTTTTTCTATCTATTGAGCATGATAAGATAAAAGTAACAAAAGTTGTGTTAATAGTTGTTATTTACAATTGTTTCTACCATCTATAAGGGTTAGAAAATTGTTACTGTAAAAAAAGTGAAAGAGAAAGGTCAAGCAAAATAATTAAAATTGGATGGGAAAATATGTACGGGAGTATATCGTGTATCGTTGTGAATTGAAGTGTAAATTGACCCTACGATTGTTAGTAAAAAAATTTAAGAAAAAAAACCATAAGTAATATCATCATTTGGTAAAAAAAATTTAAGTAAAAAATTTAAAAATATTGAAGATAAAAGAGGCAGAACTCATATGAAATCATGGGTGAAATTGTGAATGAGATTGTTGTCTGATATAGTCAACAACCCTATAATAAACAAAAACACAAGAATTCTAAGAGTTTGAAAGAAAGAAAAAAAGCAAGTTAATTGTGATGTGTTACTGATTTATAAATACACCCAATTGAAAGTATATGAAAGATGTGCAGATATTTTCTACTTTAAAAATACAAATCATTTGAAATAAATTATTATATTTTTAACTGGACTTTAGAACTAATATTTATAAAAATCAAATAATATTATAAAATCAATGTTTGAAAATATTTTTGGCCGTAAAAATAAAGGGCGGGCAAATTTAGGGTATGACAGTTGCCCCTATTTAACCACTTTTTGATTGAATGGTGCGAGAATACGCAGGTCTCGCACATTCAAATCAGAGGGTTATTAAATAATGGAAGACCCCAAAATTTGGACCTAATTTGAAAGATTTATTTTTGTTTCTATTTTCGTGGAGAAGATTCTGCATGGATTTAGAGCTGAAGATTGTATTTGATTAAAGAGTCCAAGCCCAACTGCAGAAGTCTATATACGGAGTCGTCCAAGACCTATTTTTTTAAGCATAGTCTTTATTGTAAAACCTTATGAAAAATAAGGGTTTATGGTTTTATATTTCCTTAGGTTCTCTGTGTGTTCTTTGTATGTCCACATGTATCTTTTGATGCATTTGAATTGATTGATTGTTACTTGTTTATCAAGTTATTGTTCTCCTCTAAGCTTTTAAGCAAAAAGTTGAGTATAGTTCTTAGTGACGCTTTTAAGAAAACTAAGTATTTGTAATTTAGAAGTGTGTTCTTCCTTTTTGGTTTCTTAAGACATTCCTTGGAATCAGGATTAGTTTTTTTATCATTGCGGTAATTGGGAGTGAGAGGGGTCCTCAAATCGAGGAGGTGCCTAGGTAGAAGTTGCACTGGATAGGGATTAAGTGAGAAGTGTAAACAGGGATTGTTTAGCTTCGAATTAATACTATTGATAGCGGATTTCCTTCCTGGCTTGATAGCCCCTAGATTAGGTGAGTTTGCATCGAACTGGTTTAACAATTCCTTGTGTTCTATAAGTTTTTGTATTTTATCTTCCTGCATAATCTTTCTATTTTTAGCAAGTCTATTTGCTATCATTAGATGTCGTAACATTTGTTGTGACATTGTGTGTTGTTAAGACATCAATCTTGACTTCTGATATTGTGTGTTCTAGAGTTTCAATTGGAATCAAGAACATGGGTGAGATTCAAGGATATATTTTCTGGCACTATGGAGAAAGAAGGAGGATATAACAACAAATAACATATGTTGGATGGTTCAAACTATGACTGTTGAAATGTCAGAGTGTTAGCTTTTCTTAAATCTATGGACATCAAAGCATGGAAGGGTGTTTTGAAAGGATGGAAGTATCCCGTTGTGAAGGACATTGACAAATATGGGAAAGAAATTAAAACTGAAACACTAAAACCTGAAGAATAGTGGAATGAAAATGATGATAAAGAATGTGCTCAATGGAGTTGACAAAAATGTGTTCGGATTGATTAATACATGTACTGTAGCCAAGAAAGTTTGGGAAATTCTCAAGACAACTTATGAAGGTACCTTTAAAGTGAAGATTTCAAGACTTCAACTTCTCACTTAAAAATTCTAGACTTGTAAGATGAATGATGATGAGACAATTCAGGAATATCAAATGAAGATTCTTGAAAATTGCATGTGCATCCAGTGCATTAGAAGAGAAGATGTCAGAAGAAAAGTTGGTCAGAAATATTCACAGGTCCTTACCTAGGAGATTCGACATGAAGGTCACAACTATTGAAGAAGCTCAGGATATCAACAACATGAGGGTTGATGAGCTTATTGGGTCATTGCAAACATTTAAATTGGATATTGGTGACAAGACTGAGAAAAAGAACAAAGGCATAGCTTTTGTATCTAGTTCTAAGGATGATAAAGGTATAGATAATTTAGATACTGGTGAAGATCTGTCCAATACGATTGTGTTGCTTGGGAAACAATTTAACAAAATTTTAAAGAGACTGGACAGAAAAGGAAAACAAAATGTCAAGAACATCTCATTTGAAATTAGTAATGAGGAAAACCTTCAGAAGGATACCATTCCTAAAGAAAAGACCAATCAAAGCAAAGGCATTCAATGTTATGAGTCTGAAGGTTTTGGTCACATCAAACCTGAATGTCCCACTTTTCTCAAGAGGAGGAAAAAGGTATTTACGATGTCTTGGTCTGATGATGATTAATCAGAAGATAAGGCCAACAATAATTCTACAAAACTGGTGTTGGCTTTGTCTGGAAGATGGGCAGGTAAAGAGAAAATTTATGATGATAATAAGGATCTTGATACATTCTACAAAGATACTTGTAACAGGTGTGAAGCAAATATCCAAACAAAGAAATATCAGAGTGAGATCACAGTTGACTTGGAAAACAAAAATAAGAGGTTTCTATGTACTGTATCTCATCTTCATAGTGAGGTAACTCTCTTAAATTCCAAGATTAATAACATGTCAGCCATATTAAAAAACTTGGAAGAGGAAGCAGAGATTACGAAAGAAACTGGAGATATAAAAGGTGACTATGAAGTTGTTAAAGATTAAAGAGGAGGGTTTGTGGTTAAATATTTTCCTTCTGAAAGCAAGAGAAGAATCAACATGTCCAATCACATGTTACAACATCCTAGAAGACATGATCAAACATTGTCCAAAATTCGGTCATCAACTTGGATATGACATTATTGTGGTAAGCATGGTCACAGAAAGTCCTTCGGCTATAAATTATGTGGAGACCAAAAATCTTAAATCCATTCTAAGGTTGAGCAAGTGAGAAAAGAGAGCGATTTTGATAACATGGATGTTAACAATGAGTTCTCTAGACATATGACAAGAGTTCAGAAGGTAATGTTGAATATTAGCTCCCGTCTCAGTGGACCTATAAGATTTGGTGATATGGTCAATAATAAAACCAACGAAGCTGGGAAGCTGATGTGTGTTGGTTCGCCTAATTTTAAAGACGTTAGCATTAATCGGGATAGAAGGTCGGATGACAACTTTCATCTAAGGGAACCTCAATTAGATGCTTATTCTTCTTGTTCAAAAAACAGTAAGGATGAAGTAATGTTATGGCACCTGAAACTTGGACATCTTCATTTCAAAAAAAAAAGGAAAGGAAATCATATCTAAAGGAGTCGTTAGAGATATGCCAAAACTCAAGATTGAAGAAGGGATAATCTGAATGCAAGTCACCCTGATAAAGGTGACATCATTATATTTAAACAGGTGATATCAAGTACAAAAGAATGTGTTGCCTTGAGGGAAACAAGAGGAAGTTTTTATGAACTGGTGTTGAAGAGATATGATGTCAAGAAAATGTCATGACATTTTATATTGAAGATCCGAATTCTTTCAGATATCTCTCATTCAACATGGCTAGAATAAGGACCTTGGTAGTTGTAAACAATTGATTAGGATTTTTGTTGAAGGGAAGGATGATACTCTAGGGCATATGGACAACAAGGAACAACTTGCTTTTATAAAAAATAGTGAGATTGGAACTTGTACTATCAAGGAGTTATATCAATTATAAATATGGAGAAATGCAATTAATGTTGCATATTTCCTCTATATTCTGAGGCATGTCATGCCTAGAAAACTTGCTACTGAGAAGGGATTGAATGAAAGTGTTTTCCAAGACAGTGGGGATAACTACAACACCAAGAAATGCATAAAGCTCTTTGACGGGGACAAGAGGTGGAAAACCACCTGAAGCTGGCCAAGAGGTTTTGTTTCCATCTGTTTGTTTTTTTCTGGTGCTCATGATTTGTGATTCTCATGTGTGTTTCCATCTGTAGTGTGCAACACTCTTTAGTGTGCATGGTTCTGATGCGTGCTTCCATATGTGGTAGTGCATTTGTGCAATATATGTGTCTCCAATGCATGTTTGTTTCCATCAAGTTGTGTTTGTTTCCACTTGTGTTATTTCCCGAGTGCAATGTGTTCTGTGTTTCTATTGTGTACATTTACTCTATTTCTTTTTGTCAATAATTTGGCTAAAAAGGGGAGTAAAATGTATCGTGATGTTATATCACATGTCTTGACATGTTGATTTAGCATTGTGATAGGACTGTGTGCTACTTTTTTGAGAGAGTAGCTGTGTGTTTGTGACTTCTCATGCAATCATTCAGGGGGAGCATGAGTGTTCATGCTTGTTTGTGCTGGAGTTGTTGTTGTTGCTTTTATTGTTCCGTTGCATGTGTTCTGATGTGGGGTTTTCCTTTGAAGGGGAGAACTAATTGTGTATGACAGGGGGAGTATTGTACCTGCCTGGTTGGACAAGCTTCAGAGTTGTGTTATGTTTGCATGGTTTCATGTAACTTGTGTTTGTGGTTTTATTCCTCTCTCCAGGATAATTTGTCTTTGGTTGTTTTAGCCAAAATTTGACAAAGGGGGAAGATTGTTAGGTCTGTGATTTTATGGTTGGCAGTCTGGTAGTACAAGCTTCTGAATTGTGTTGTGTTTACAGAGTTTGTATGATTTCATGTAACTTATATTTTTGGTTTTATTTCTCTCTCTGGGATAATTGGTCTTTGGTTGTTTTAGCCAAAATTTTCCAAATAGGGAGATTGTTAGGTTTGTGATTTTATGGTTGACAACTATTTTGGTGAAATAAATAGTTGACATAATTCTATCAACATGATTCATTTAGGAAAAATATGTATTGCAACCTAATATTGAGCAAGATGTCATAACATCTTGACCAGCTGGTACAACAAAGTTTGCTGGTACTTATTTGACAAATATTGTAACATAACATTATTTCACTACAGTTGGATGTTTATCCTTGAAGATTTGATTGAAAAATATGAGATTCTGGAGGTTTCTAGTGCTCATAACAGGCGCAGCCAATCAAGGATTGTTAGGAATAATTACAGATTTGATTTATTTCATAAAAAGGATCTTTGAGACTTTTTAGCAAATATTTGAAAGATTTGTTTTTGTTTATATTTTTGTAGAGAAGATTCTGCAGGGACTTAGAGTTGAAGATTATATTTGATTGAAGAGTCCAGTCCAATTGCAGAAGTCTATATAAGGAGTCGTCCAAGACCTATTTTTTAAGCATAATTTTATTGTAAAACCTTGTGAAAAATAAGAATTTATGGTTGGATAGTTCCTTAGGTTCTCTGTGTGTTCTTTGTACGTCCTCACGTATCTTTTGATGCATTTGAGTTAACTGATTGTTACTTGTTTATCAAGTTATTGTTCTCCTATAAGCTTTTAAGCAAAAAATTGAGTATTGTTCTTAGTGAAGCTTTTAAGCACACTAAGTATTTGTAATTTGGAAGTGTGTTCTTCCTTTTTGGTTTCTTGAGACATTCCCTGGGATTGGGATTGGTCTTTTATCACTGCGGTGATTGAGAGTGAGAGGGATTCTCATATCTATGAGGCGCCTAGGTAGAAGTTGCACTGGGTAGAGATTAAGTGAGACGTGTAAACTGGGATTGTTTAACTTCGAATTAATACTACTGATAGTGGATTTCCTTCATGGCTTGATAGCCCCCAAAGTAGGTGAGTTTGCACCGAACTGAGTTAACAATTTCTTATATTCTTCAAGTTTTTGTATTTTATCTTCCTGCACAATCTTTCTGTTTTTAGCAAGTCTGTTTGCTGTCATCAGATATCGTAATATATGTTATAACATTGTGTGTTGTTAAGACATCAGTCTTGACTTCTGATATTATATGTGCCAGAATTTCATTAAAAAAACCTAACCTAAATAAATATAAAAAGTCTTGATCAATAAAATAAAATAGGAATTAAAACAAAAATGTCTATATATTACAAGCATAAAAAATCAATTTAAAATCTAAAATAACAACAACAAAAAATGAAAATGTATCAATTTTGGTGTAGCACACTAACATGTTAAGCACTTCATTCAAACTTGTAAATATATGTATTATAAGTGCCTAGCACGTCAAAGAGATGACGCGTGCTACCAATAAAATCTTCGTTACATATACACACGTATATCATTTTATATCTATATATGTTATATAATTTCGTTGACAAATTAATGTGTTACCAACTTATACTCAAAATTCCTACTATATAACTGAAAACACAACTTGTATAGCACAAGCCTTAACTAAACCTTGTAACATTGAACATGTCTTCCTTTAAGTCCTATGGAAAAGTTAATGAACTTGATCAAATGATGCTAGAAGCAAAGCGAAAAACCCGAAAGAGAATCACAATCATAAGCTTATCTTCAATAATCTTAGTTACTATTGTAATTGCATCAGTATTTGGAGTTGTTAGCAACAAAAACAACTCGAAAAACGATGATAACAATAACGCGTCACAAAATACCGTGACGAATTCTATGAAAGCTGTTTGTGATGTGACATTGTACAAGGATTCATGTTATGACAGCCTTAGTTCTGTTGTGAACTCATCAGGGAAAGATATTCAACCTGAGGAGTTGTTTAAGTTGTCAATCAATGTGGCTTTGACTTATGTGTCTAAAGCTGTTGAGTATTTCAATGAGCATGGTGTTTTCGAAAAGTTGATGGGTGATAATGATAGTAGAAGTAAGGAAGCTTTGAGAAATTGTAAGGATCTTTTCGAACTTGCTGTTGATCATTTGAATAACTCGTTGATTATGTCAGAAGAAAATTCTTCAGTTCTTCGAGTTTTTGATGATCTTCAAACATGGTTAAGCGCCGCAGGTACTATATGAAAACGGTTAGACTTTATTTTATCTTTTGCTAAATAACTAGTTTATTTATAAACACTTATACGATAAGCGTGATATATATAATTATTTTTTGTATATGCTTAAAACATAGGAACATACCAAGAAACATGCATTGAAGGTTTTGAGGATGGAAAAGAAGAGCTTAAGACTTGTGTTACAAGCTATCTTAAAAATTCGACAGAGTACACGAGCAATAGTCTTGCGATAATTACATGGATTAACAAGGTTGCGAGCACTCTAAATTTGAGGCGTTTACTAAGTTTACCTAACGAAAACGAGCCACCGAAATGGTTTCATGCAAAAGATAGGAAGCTGCTTGTTACAAAGGATTTGAGATCAAAAGCTGATATTGTTGTTGCTAAAGATGGTAGTGGAAAATATAGGACTATATCTGATGCACTTAAACATGTTCCTAATAAGAGTAAGAAGAGGATTGTGATTTATGTGAAGAAAGGGATTTACTATGAAAATGTGAGAGTTGAGAAAACAAAATGGAATGTTATGATTATTGGTGATGGTATGACTTCTTCAGTTGTTTCTGGTAGGCTTAACTTTGTAGATGGTACGCCGACTTTTTCATCTGCAACATTTGGTAAGTGATTCTATTTGATTTCATCTGGGTCGTGTTAAGTTTTTGGAACCTCTGTGTAGGTTAATCACGGTTTAACTGTGACAAAACAAATAAGGATCCTATTTCGTCATGGTTTAACTCTGAAATATATTTATGAGACCTTTTTTAGTCAGAGTTTAACAGGGACAAATTTTAGGTCTTGATCAGTAATCTGTCTTGCACACTCTCAAAGACGGCTTTGCAGCAAATATTAATGTAATGTGTGTATTTATGAAAACAGCTGTGTTTGGGAAGAATTTTATAGCTAGAGACATGGGTTTTCGCAACACGGCCGGTCCACAGAAGCATCAAGCAGTGGCACTAATGACAAGTGCTGATCAAGCAGTTTACTATAAGTGTCACATTGATGCATATCAAGACACTCTTTACGCTCATTCGAATCGCCAATTCTATAGAGAATGCAACATTTACGGAACAGTCGATTTCATTTTCGGAAACTCAGCAGTTGTGATACAAAACTGCAACATTAGGCCAAAGTTACCTATGCATGGGCAACAGATCACAATCACAGCACAGGGTAAAACTGACCCTAACATGAACACAGGTATATCAATTCAATATTGCAACATTTCGCCTTTCGGAAACTTGAGTGATGTTCAGACGTACCTCGGAAGACCGTGGAAGAATTACTCGACAACGGTATACATGAGATCGAGAATGGAAGGTTTTGTTAGTCCAAATGGTTGGTTACCTTGGGTTGGAAACTCGGCGCCAGATACTATTTTTTATGCAGAATTTCAAAATGTTGGAGCAGGTTCTTCAACAAAGAATAGAGTGAAATGGAAGGGTTTGAAAAATATTAGTATTAAAGAAGCTAGTAAGTTTTCTGTTAAGAGTTTTATTCAAGGTGATAGATGGATTCCTGCTTCAAATGCATCTTTTAAGTCTAACATATGATGATTTCATTACTTTTTCTTTGTAATTTTTTCTATGATTTTATGATTGTATTATTGATTTGATACTGAATAATGATTCTCTTTATTTGATTTTGTTTATATGAAAAAAATAGTAGGTGACAATATTGAAATTGCAGAAGCTTCGTTGACTAACAATAAACATATTCGAAGACTAAAATAATTAATGTAAATCATATTTACGTATCAAATTGAGTAACGATAAACATATTCGAGGATGTTTTGTAATTTTGATTAATTTGAGAACTATAGTGATAGCGCTTGATTCAATGACCAAAATGACTTTATATGTCAAATTTTTTGTATTTGCAAAAGTATATTAGTATAACTTTACCAGCGAGGACTAATAAAATTTTAGTAGAATACTCTGTGAATTGTGTATATCTTTTTTCTTTGGTTATTGTTTGTTTTTATAGTAGTCAATTAGCCAATTAGCTATAAATGTGTTGTTCGCTTATTCTAAGTCTCTATATTTGAATATTCTATCCATGTTAGTTTTTGCTCGCCTAGGTCGGGCTGATCCATCAGCTCGCTTAAACTGAGAACTTCTTCGGGTCATCAAATACTTGGCTCAAAATAGATCGAATTGTACATAAATCTTCAAACATGAGCCGTGTAGGGTAAAATGTTTTTTCTAAGAGATCGGACATGTACACAGACCCTCAAACATGAGCCGTGTAGGAGCGGGATGCTTTCCAGACAGATAAGACAGTTTGAGGTAAAATAAAGGCTGCACTGAGATTTCACATTATCTGTGAAAAAAGTCTAATTGCATTGGAATATATAGTAACCGAAAACATGAACATATTTTCATTATAACCTAAGTTTACATCAGAACATAAAGACTGTCATCCCTTTTGGATGCTGTTCTTTAAAATAGTAACATTACATCTAACAAAAAATATTGAACTAAAATTATATTTTTAACACAAACATTCACCACCAGAGTCATCTCAAATTTTTCGAAGTAAGTTAGCCACAACTTAACCATGATAAAATAAATAGATGCACTATTTCACGTTCTCAAAGACGGTCATGTATGTTTAGTTTAGTAATCCTTCGGTGTAAGGTATATCTGTATCAGGAAGCCAGGTATTTCCCAAAGTAAAGTTAAGAACAGTGAAATTCCAAGCTTGAGTATCATTCAAAAGAAAATAACCAGGCCATTGAACCCTATTATCAGTTGAAGAACCAGGTCCATAGTTATCAAACTCGCCGTAAAAAATAGTATCTAAACCAAGTGTTCCATTCCATTCTAACCAACCAGCAGGGTCAACAAAATCACCAATGTATGATTGCATATAAACAGTTCTTGAATAAATCTTCCATGGTCTACCTAAGTAACTCGATGTCGAATTCAAGTCATCAGCCAAATCAGGTGCAGCATCAACAGTGCAGTTTTGGATTGAGATTCCAGTGTTTTGATTTGGATCAGTTCTTCCTTGTGCTGTCACAGCATTTTTCTGATTTGGAAGTGGCTTTCTAGCATAGATGTTACAGTTCTGGAAAACTACAGCTGCGTTGCCGAAAATGAAGTCGACGGTTCCGTAGATTTTGCAGTCCCTATAGAATTGTCTTAATGAATGGACATAGAGTGTGTCTTGATATCCTTCGAAGCTGCATCGGTAGAATGTCGAGAGATCTGCGTTGCTTCGGACAGCTACTGCTTGATGTTTTTCAGGACCTGCTGTGTTTCTGAATGTAATGTCCACTGCTATAAATCTTTCTCCAGAAACAGCTGCATTTAACACGAGAGAAAATGTTAGCAAAAGACAACTACTAAGCACACACATGTCTGTGACACTGAAACTGATATGTCGATACCAGTAATAATTTGAATAAGTAAATAAATTGAACTTGTCAGTGTCAGTGTCTCACACGAACACAGACTCTAACATGTTTTTATTCAAAGGCGTATCAGTGTCTCACACGGACACAAACACGCATTTATTCAAAGGTGTGTCGGTGTCTCTCTCGGACACAGACACGGACAGTCTTTATTTAGAGGTTATCGGTGTCTCACACACGGACACAAGCACAAACACGCTTTTATTCAGAGATGTGTCAGACACAGACACGGAAATGTCTGTATCAGAAGTAGAAAAAGTATAATTACCAAAGGTGGAAGAATTGAAAGTTGTCCAACCATCAATGACACTATGATTCCCTGTGATGATTGTTTTGTTGATACCATCTCCAACAAGAAGAATATTCTTCTTTTCTTTAGGAACAATGACATATTCTTCATAGTAACCTTCTCTAACATAGATAAGAAAATAACCATCTTGTGGAGTTGAGTTATTTGGTGCAGCAGCAATAGCATCTCCGATGGAAGTGTGGTTTGCATTTCCATAAGGACTCACAAGCACATAATCGTTTAGTAGAATTCCTTGGCTTTCACTTTGTTTAAGAATCCTTTCACTTCTACTACTTGTACAATTTAATGTTTTGTTGCAACTATATTTTGTCCTGAGAAGCTGCAACAACAATGTAATGTTTCATTTTACCATTTAAAAATACATTTTCATGCGTATAATATATAACACCGACATCTCTAAATATTAATATGTCGAATATTTATATCCAATCTTAAATATTGATATAACACTGATACACATGTGATTACGTTCCATTTATTTATTTATTAAAATTATTTTAGATTATATTGTGTCACTTATTTGAACCGCTGACTTCTGATTAAGTTGAAAAAGATATCTACTAATGAGTGGATGATAAAAAATTAGCCTTAATTAACCTATCATGTGGTAGGTATGATGGTATGTGCTAAATACAAGATAGATGAAATGTGTATGGTTTGTTGCTATTGGCAATTTGGCATAAACAAACAAAAAGCCACGTGAGTGATTAGAGGGTTGTTACATTATGCCAAGACATTCAACATTTGAAACAGAGGAGAACAGAGCTTCCTAATTTTTTTGGGTCCATGTAAATACTAATAACTATTAGAAATAAGAAATTAAGTTTAATTATATTAGTATTTATTAGTTGAGTTAAACCTTATGATAAAAGTTATTAGTTGGAATGTGGACAATCCATGGCATGCCACTATGGACATATGATTTACTTGAATAAGTCAAAAAGTGTAGCATTTATAACTAAATATTAGTACTTTTTATGGGATAATAATGTACTAGAAAAGTGTAGAAAAAATTATGTCAAATTAAATATGTGCATGTGTGTTTTGCATTTGGATAAATTAAAGACATGATTAGTCTTACCCTAATGTGAAAGAAAAAAAAATCAATTCTAATTAAAATTATGAGAAAAAATTATTTCACACTAGTAGTATATATTATCAAAAAAATAAATAATCATTGAAAGTTTTGGAAAACTTATAGAACTAGAGAATTGACATCAGATGTTGTTCCCTTTATATATTTTAAATTTTGTTACTTTCATGAAAAAAGAAAATATCACCAAACAAAAGAAAATTCATCTCTTATAAATAATTGCATATTATGATTTTTTATAAGAGACATAAAAAATTAAATTAAGAAATAAATTTTTTTAACATTACATTCAATTTCATATATTTCTAGGGACTGAAATATTTGTAAAGATAGTGCACATAAATTTTTTTTAGTACGAAAGATAGCTCGACACTTAAGTCAACAGATATTTAATAAAGGTTTTATTGTGGTCTTCAAAACTATTTCAAACAAAATAGTCAAATATAAAAAAACTTGTTCCTATAATCAATATGATTTCGTACCATTAATTTTTGATATTTTTAGTTTACTAGCATTAGAGTCATAAATCTTTTACAAAAAATTCAAAAATTAGTGTATAGCAATTTTATGTCTTCTATATCAATAGATATAATTTTTAAGAAGATTAATTTTATCATTTAAAAAAGATAACGACTTTAATATCATAATTAGTGTCAATAAATTATTAAATAATATGAGATATATTGATTGTTTAATAGTTCGTTTAATTTTTAAGTTAAATATCAAATCCATTGAACTATTTTCTATCATGAATCTAGACTCAACCACTTCTAGTTTTTCTATAACTCTAAAGCAACAAAACAATAAATAAGGAGTAACAAACAGTGTAGAAACTAAGCATAACAAAGTATAAAGATACATAAATTACCTTGATAAGCTTTTCAAGTGGCTGTCTAACTTTGAATGACTTATTAGGAAGACCATGTTTCCTTGTCTTATTTGTCTTCATGTGTTTATTCAAAGCATCACTAACCAATCCAAGTGAAACACTATAAAACTGTGTAGCATCTTTCAATGGAACAGCAAGAACATTAGCAATGTTACTTTTTGTGACAACCAACCCATCAAAGCAAGTGTAGTGATTAGTACTAACAGCACTAAGATAGCTTTCGATTTTATCAACAAGTTCGGTATTTGATGATGATGAACTAGTGGCTGATTTGAGTTCATCAGAGATTGATTCTAAGTAGTCTACATTGAGTTGGTTAAGGTCTTTGCAATCAACTAATGCACCAAACTCTTCGTGGTTTAGAGATGAGGAGGATTGGTGGCGATTCAGGAAATCGATAAATACTTTTGAGAGTTTTTTTGTTAGTTTGAGGTTTTGTTTTATGGAGAATTTTCCGTAGTTGTATGGATCAGAAGAAGATGATCCGATGGTAGATAACATCGAACGACATAATTTTGGATATAATGTCGCTTTACACGCGGCTGAAGAGGAAGAAGAAGGAGAAGAAGAATTAAATGGAGATGAAGATTGTGCTAGAAGTAATAATGGTGCTAAGAAGATGAAAAAGAGAAGGGAAAATGATGGTGACATTGTTTTTTAGAGTTTTAATGAAAGGCTGCAAATGAGGTTTGAGTATGTATTATTTTGCTTGTGAATGTGTTTTGGTATAATGGTTGTGCTAGGAATTTATAGGCATGTAGATAAAGTTGTTGAGATGAAGTAAATACTCCTTAATGAGGATAATTGTTTATTCATAAAAAGGAAATTGTCTCTTTTCAAAGG